GTCAGGCCTCTCTAGTCCAGTAATGGTAACGGTAAGTTTTAACTCTCAATAAAGCCTTTTTCCACAATATCCACATCGTTATAAAGAAAGTTTAATCTTAATTGGAGTATGCAATTTGCATGCAACATGTTATAATATTCATATTCATGTATATATATTTTGCAATACAGTACACAAGTAAATATTTTCAAGCTTTTTTTTTTTTATTAAAAAAATGCGAAACTAGTTTCGATTTATATAATAAGCAGAATTGAAATTTTATTTTATACATTCACATTTGAATTTTCTTCTGAATTACGTTACTTATAACGAACTGGATATTTTTCCGAGAGTTAGCATTTCTGTATTGAACTGACATAAGATTTAAAACCCTTGATAGCTTGTCATAAAAGCGTTCGTTTCACATATGTGCATATATGCGTATCTAGTAATACGTATGAGCTGATGAAAAAATCATGGGCAGGGGCTGACCTTTTCGCTAGTACAATTTTTCTGAACAGAATTAGTTTTCGTATCTATATCAAACGCGTAAAAGCCATTAGTTGGTTCCTTGCCAAATTCTAGTGATGCTGTTTTGTCTTGAGAAATTCTAGTACGTACCTCATTTTATTGTTAAGTTTATTAATTAATAAATATCACATTCAATTTCTTAACCTGAAATATCAGAATATGCTTTAGAAGAGAATCTTTTATCGACCATAAGGGTGCAGACCGAGAGTCGAACCGCCTATTGGCCAGCCTGTATTACTATCGCTATGCACATCGTGTTTCCAAATATCTGCATCAATTAATTATGAACGTACAAATATGTCTGTACGATCGAGCACAAGCCACCAATCATTATTTACTGATTTGATTAGCATGATTAGCATGATTAGAAGATATCTCTTAAAAACGCATATTTAAACCTTTCCGTTCTTTTTCGTGCCTTATCGAATGTTTGTTCAATACAGAAGCAGATCTTGTCAGCCAAACACAAAAATGTCATCAAACACAAAAGATTACAAATTACTGATTGAAGAGGATAATGCCAACATTACAACATACCAACCACCCTTAATCTCCATGAAAGATAATCTTTCTTATATATCATCATTGGCAGCAACGGGAATACTTCCAATTTTAACCTATTGTGCTGCTAGTATCCTGAT